TCAGACATCAAGTAAGTTTCAGACATCAGGAAAAATCCCTAATTACTTCAGTATGCATCTCCACTAAATAAGGACATTTTCCTATATAACCACAATACAATTACATTCTTGAATACATAAACATAATTCTATGTATCATCTAATAAATAGTCCATATTCAAATGCCTCCAAAAATGTCTTTTATGGGTCTTTTTGGGGGCGGTGGAGGTGGGGAACCAACAACCAAAGTTTTCATGTTGCATTTTGTTGCTTTGTCTCTCTAGGTTCACTTAACACCTGCCGATGTTTTTTTTCATGTTATTTATATTTTGAAGAGTCCAGACTTTTGGAAGCCTACATGGGAGGACGGTTATTTCTTGAGTGTTGTCAATCTTTTATTTCTTGGCCTGGGTAGTGGTTTTCCTATGGCATTAGCTTTCTACATTTTTTCATTACACTGCACAATAATATTTTATGCATCAAATTTGTATGTAACTGGTACTACCAAGAAATGAGCTATCAAGGCGTGAAAAGATGTGGCATAACTTAAATGTATATACTTTAGTGAGCGAAGCCAATCTAAAAAGGCTACCTACTGTACAATTCCAATTACATAACATTCTGGAAAAGGTAAAACTATGGAAACAGTGAAAAGGTCAGTGGTCACCAAGGGTTAGTGGAGGGGGATGGATGGATAGAGGACAGAGGACTTTTAAGGCAGTATGATACTATAGTGGTGGATACATGCCATTATACACTTGTCAAAATGCATAGTATGTACAACACCAAGAGGGAACCCGAATGTGAAGGAAGGACTTTGGATAATGGCGATGTGTTAGTGGAGGCTCATTGATTGTAACAAATGTATCACTCTGGTATGGGATGTTGATAGTGGGGGAGGTTGTTGGGGGCAAGGGGTATATGGAAACTCTCTGTACTCTGTTCATTTTTGCTATCAACCTAAAAATGCTCTAAACAGCAAAGGCTATTTTTAAATCTGTATGCATATTATATTTCACAGCTTTTTGAAAGGAAGACATGTCTGGGGAGAAGTGATTACGGTTACAGTGCTCTAAGTTTCTCACATGTTTTAGAAGGTGTGTCAATATATTAACTTTAGACTTAATTAAGCATAGTGGGCCATCAAAGTAAAAATTCTATGCTTTCCCCTATTACGCTATCTTTCTCTCTAGAACCAAGTAAGGAATTATTGACTTTCCAAGGTCTCTAGGTTCACTCTTGATAAGTAAACAATCAGATTTAGTGCCTGGGCTCATCTTTGCAATTGTCATGGCTTCTTCTTCCCATCTTATGAGGGTCTCCTCAGAACAAGCATTTGAAAGTTCATTCCAATCTCATTCTTTCCAGAGAGTTGGCTTCTCCCCTTGACCTCCAAGTTACAATAGCTTGGAGAGGTAACCATCTTCCCCCTCGTGCCCTCCCCTGAGGTTAATCACTTCTTGCCCCTTGCCCTGGGGAGGAACAGTGACAGAAGTCTTGGCATACTGCTTGGAAAGGTCCTTGACTCCTGATCAAGGGGATTAGACTAAGAAGGAGGCCGAGCTAATGATTAAAGAGAGAGTTAGGGATAATGTTTCCTTGCTTCTATTCCTAGCAGTACTGTACTAGCACGGGATTGGTTCAAGTTAACACCTGACTTTCTATCTGTGAAACTAGGGAGACCAATCTGTTTGGGCTAACAAAATACTCGGGGGAAAAATGTTTTTGTTGATACCATAAGAGTGACTAACCAGAGAAGTCTGGGAATTTTTATAAATAAAATAACCTCGAATATGCTTGTAAACACCATACCATTCCACAGCATCATTCCTTTTTTTAGCTCGATTTTTTGTTTTTTTTGAGAACAGATTGTGTCACTGAACAGATGCAGGCTTTGCTGGGAAGGGAAGCAGTGGACATGCATTACAGGAGAAGGTACGGGCCTTGCCTTCAAGGTTCTTACAATCCTATTGGAGAGAAGAATATTCAGCTAGGAGAAGGAAGAGAAAATATCTCACTGGTTTGGAGTGCATGATCATATCTTAATATGCCAGAGGTGAGGCTGACCTTTGAAGAAGGGGAGGGAGGGCTGTGTTGCTAATTAATTGTGGAAAGTGAGGGCACTATGTAGATTCCCTAAAAGTGAAGGCCAACAGATGTGCTTTCAAAAACACCTTTGGGGAACTCCCTGGTGGTCCAGTGGTTAGGACTCCATGCTTTCACTGCTGGGCCCAGGCTGTATTGGGGAAATAAGATCCCACACACCTTGCAGCACAGCCAACAACAACAACAAAACAACAGATTTGGCAGCTGTGTTTTCTCTTAAAGAATGTCTGCTAGCCTGGATGGGAGGGGAGTTTGGGGCAGAATGGATACATGTATATATATATATGGCTGAGTTGGTCTGGTGTGTACCTGAAACTATTACAATGTTGTTAATTGGCTATACCCCAATACAAAACAAAAAGTTTTATAAAAAGACTGTCTGCTAATGTCAACTGGGATGTGTTCAAGTCCTCAGCACATTACAGAAGCCTTATTTCTCTGACCCTCTTTTCTATCGCTGGTGCTGCTGCCTGTCTTAGAAAGTAATAGGACTCCACTCCTTGGACAGTATTCTACATCCTAGCTGGTCCACAAGTTTAGATTGACCTTTCACCTACTTAGGGCCCAGGAGTGAAGTTGAAATCAAGGAAAAGTGGTAAGAGATAGGATCCTATGTGGACAGGCTCTCTCAGCGAGTCAGTTCAGTTGAGTTCAGTTCAGTTCAGTCGCTCAGTCGTGTCTGACTCTTTGCGACACCATGAACTGCAGCACGCCAGGCCTCCCTGTCCATCACCAACTCCCGGAGTCCACCCAAACCCATGTCCACCGAGTTGGTGATGCCGTCCAACCATCTCATCCTCTGTTGTCCCCTTCTCCTCCTGCCCTCAATCTTTCCCAGCATCAGGGTCTTTTCAAATGAGTCAGCTCTTCGCATCAGGTGGCCAAAGTATTGGAGTTTCAGCCTCAACATCAGTCCTTCCAATGAATACCCAGGACTGATCTCCTTTAGGATGGACTGGTTGGATCTCCTTGCAGTCCAAGGGACTCTCAAGAGTCTTCTCCAACACCACAGTTCAAAAGCATCAATTCTGCACTCAGCTTTCTTTATAGTCCAACTCTCACATCCATACATGACCACTGGAAAAACCTCAGTGAGTCAGGGCAGGTCAAATGAGAGAAATGGGGATAATCCTCTCTTCCATATGCCATGCTTTTCTGGTGACCAATCATTTCTAATTTATTTGTTTAATGTCCATCTCCCCAACAAAAGGGCATACTCCATGAGGCTACTGACCATGTCTTTCTCATTCTCTGTTTTATCACCAGCACCCAACACAGCATCTGACACATAGTCAGTGTCTTATAAATATCTGTTACATAATTAATCAGTTAAGTGGGACTTAAATCCTGACAGGGTGTAGATGGAAACTAGCAAATGAGTGAGAAAAGGTGGGGAGAAATGAACTGAAGTCTTTGTTGGGAGCCATGAAATGACTGCAGGGAGGAAACAGGAAGTGTGGAATAGTAGGGCCTTCTAGTAACCGTGGTGAGAAAGTGAGCATGAGTAAAAGCATCTTGTTGAGCATCTTCTAGGTATCTGGTGCTTTAACATGTATGAACTCATTTAATCTTCATGACTCTTCGAGATAGGCAATATGACAATTTTACATTTTACAGATGAAAAAAGAGATTCAAAGGGGTTCAATAATTTGTTGATGATCATTATTGTGAGACAATTGCTCATGGATCTCTCCTGTTTCTGCACATCCTATGAACAGAGACAGTGACTGACCCTGTACTGGACTATTTTCTTCAGGATATATGTACAGTAAACAGCTTTGGAAGATCCAGTGTCTCTCTCTGGGCCAGTGGAAAGGCAAACCTACTGCTCACCCTAAAAGATTCAGACTCATTAAGGTCAGTGTTGCCCTCCTGTAACACAACCGACAACATGTGCAAGCATCACCTGGCCCTTTTTGAGTAGCTCCTCTGAGATTTGGGGGGCAAAGGGAACTGACACAAGAAAATGCTTATACTCTGGCCACTACTATGGCTGACCCAGGAGTCTCGTATCTTCTGCCAGCATTCATGAAAAGATGTGGCAGGCTAAGTTGGTAGCTTGCAAGTAAGATAAAATCTCAGAGCCATCACAGGTCCTGATGGTCACACAGATGAAGTGCCAAAAATGGGAATGGTACCCATACCTGTTTGACTCCAGAACCCACACTCTTTTCCCAGGATGCTGCTGCTTCCTGAGCTACACATAGGGTTAGCTGCTACATCATATGATGTCATTTCTCCCTGTCCTCCCCCCCGCCCCATACCTTTGTGTCGTTAAGTCTGACTTTACTTTTCAAATTGGATGATTGGGGTATTCGGTGAAGCAAAGAGGTTTAAAGTATCTGATTATAATTGTCTTTCCCTCTGTCTCCCAGGTGAATGGGAGTCCTTCATCTATCATCTCATCTTCTTAATCATACTATTTGCTCAGGGTTATGGTTCTTATAATAGTCAGGCTTTTGTCGGGCATATTCATCTCAAGGAACAAAAATTCCCAGAGGACGCAACAACTGGAGCAACTTAGATACCTCATAAATAACCAACTAGAGCCTCCCTCGTGGCCCAGTGGTTAAAAAACCTTGCAATGCAGGGGACATGGGTTCAATCCCTGGTCCAGAAAGATCCCACATGCATCAGAGCAACTGAGCCCGCAAGCCACAACTATTGAGCCCGAGTGCTGTAACTACTAAAGCCCGCAAACCCTAGGGCCTGTGGTCTGCAACAAGAGAAGCCACCATGATGAGAAGCTCATGCATTGCAACTAGAGAGTAGCTCCCGCTCGATGCAACTAGAGAAAGCCCTCCCAGCAACAAAGACCCAGCACGGCCAAAAAATAAATAAAGAAATGACTTTTTAAAAAAGAAAGTAAATTAACATTCACATTTTAATAAAATTAAATAAATAACCAGCTAGGTTTAGTGCTTTGGAGGATACTTGCCGAACTTTACATCACAAGGCTCTGGGGCTCCTATATCCTTGCTGGGCCATCTAGGTAGTAGTTCAGAGGGTATACAATGGTGGCACCCCAAGATCCCATTTTCCATGTTTTGAAACCCTGAAATAATTGTATTAAAGTGGCTTCAGTGGAGATTTCTAATCTCAGGAGTCCCAAATATCCCTTTTGTTCATATAGGTCTTTTGCTCTTATTATCTACAAACTCTTTTGATCTTCAACAATGTTGGCATGTCAGGCCATCATTCTCTGTATTCACTAATGTTAGAGCTACAGCTGCCAGCACAGGGTTGGGGAGAGGGGAAATCAGAGGCTGAGGAGCAGTGAGGTCATCCCCCCTGATCATGTCCCCAGAGGAATGGTCTACCAGAAGACCTGATGATTTGTCTAGCTTTTGCACCAGAGTGATCATGTACCATCCTCACAAGAGTCCTTTGAGGAAATAGGTCCAAAAAGTTTAAGTGACTAAGCAGTTCAACATTCTGCTCTGCACTCATAGCAGATCTGGGGCTAGCATCCCTTTCTATACCTTGCATATTTAGTGAGTTCAGAGGCTGGTGTCCTAGTTTCCAGGAGGTAGAAGAGTAGGATGAAGGGTAGGATGATGATTCTTCCTTTTGACAGCTTCTGTCATCCTACCAAAAGAAAGGGCCATGCCTAGACATGTCATGCTTCCTTGCATGGATGCAGGGCAGAAGGGTGATGTAAGGATTGGTGTACTGCACAGAGCTAGGGAATGGGAGTCCTGAAGTCTGACTGGACCATGATTTCTTCTTTTGCATGAATTCTCTGCATGCAAAATCTACATATAGGTGTCTCTGGGCCTCAGAGTCCAGCCAGATAACCGGTCCTCCTGGCCAAACAGCCCCCTGGAGGAGTAGTAGACAAAACCTCCCTACAGCTTTCAGCTATCTCCTGCCTGACCTAGCAGCTGTTGCTCTTACCTGAACAGAGGAGGACTGTTTCACTTCCTTGACTTCTGAGCATGGATTTACCAAGCTGGGCTGTGCTTGGGTTGGAGCCAGGGTTGGTGGGAAGCAAACAGTTGCAGAAAAGGGCTACACAACTTGGAGTTGCCACCATCCTGAACCAAGCACGGACGACTGGGGACAAGAAAGGGAGGCATTTGGGATGCAGGCATCTGTAAGATAAGGAGAGTCGCCCCCACGTGGGCTCAGGGTTTCTCTTCTTGAGTTGTAGGTCTGTTGGAAGAGGCCAGAGACAAGGAAACAATTGATTTCAGTCCTGCAGGCTCCTCAGGTGAACAGCAACGTGCTGTAGAGACAGTTTCCTTCCTGCTAGTGTGGGCATTAGCAATTCTCCAAGAACTGGAAACCTCCGAGAAGGCGCATTAATTTACTTCTTTTATCTTAGATAACAGGGGTCTACTTAGGAGACCTCGAGAAAAGATTATGGTGAAGATACACACAGCATAGAGAACTACTAGATTCCAAAGTGGCTTAGTCATCAGCATCGTGTTATTATACAATGTCCCTGATTCCCTCTGGAAGTCTGTTCTATTCTCCTCTTGCCAGGGACTGGGAAATTCTCCCTCCGTAGTCTATAGGGACAGTGCCACAGGTTGCTGGCCTGACTGCCTTAGCCTGTTACTCTCAATCCTATTGAACAGAATTGTGCCTGGCTACCCAGGTGGCACTAATAGAAAGAACCTGCTTGCCAATGCAGGAGACATAAGAGATGTGAGTTCGATCCCTGGGTCGGGAAGATCCCCAGGAGGAGGTCATGGCTACCCTCTCCAGTATTCTTGCCTGGAGAATCCCATGAACAGAGGAGCCCAAAGGGCTATAGTCCACAGAGTCACAAAGAGTTGGACACGACTGAAGCCACTTAGCATGCACGCACGCACTTACCTGTCACCAAATTGTGGGGGCCCATTCCTGCTACAGTCAAGGTCACCCCAGGCCACAACTAGCTGGATTTGCTTTCCTGACCGGGAGGCGGTGAGCACAGTAGTGGACACGGCAGGCACCATGACTGACAGGTCTAGTAAAGAGGACTTCCCCTGAAGATTTACATCAGCCTTGGTGACAATCCCACCTATGAGAGATTCGGCTGAACACAAGAGAGACAGGGCCAGTTCTGTGTGTGCGTGTGGAATAGGCAGCTGCCCATGCCAGTCTTTCCCAAATCATGGTCCTCAGACCCCTGCAGGAGACCCATCTTAGTGTTTTAAAACTTCAAATTTCTGGGCTCTATTTCAGTCTTACAGAATGAGAATTTTGGAGTTGGGATCAGAGAGTCTGCATAGGTAAAAGCTCCTCATATAACTCTGTGTCCACTAAAGTTGAGGACCTCTGTTCTATAGTCTTCAAGCTTCATTCAAGCAGTCATCTCCTTCTGGGAAGTTCTTCTCCTGCTATCTCTGTTTAGCAAAATCCTGCTCCAATCCTGGAGGCCAAGCTCAGATGCAGCTGCCTTCATGATGCTTTCCCTGATTTCCTGTCTCCTTAACTGCAACTATCTCTTGGTGCTATGGGGTAGAGGATACTAGGCATCTAAGAACTGGGATTCAAGGAACGTTGGGGATATGAGAAGGCATATCTGGGAAGGATGGGATTGTAGGAAAGGGTGTATGTTTTGTCCCCAACTTTTTATTTGGAGAAATCTGAAAGTAAACTATGATGAATAACAGCACATCCTTCCTGGAAATTAACCAGGACAGTAACATTTTAGATTTGCATATATGCTCTCTCTATATACACACATAAAAACATGTATGTATTTGTATGATTTCAGCTCCAACATATGAAATTTAATTGCAAGTATCATGCCACTTTACATCTAAAGTTTTGCATCTAAAATTGCATCTAATTTCAGCATGTATCTCTTATGAACAAGAGCATTCTCTCATTCCCTTGCAAAATGATAATACCATTATCACATCCAAGAAACGTAACATTGACAAAACAGCATTGTTCAATATTGACTCATATCAAAATTTCTCAAATTATCTCCCAAACATCCTAGCTATTTGTAATCCAATCAAGAATCATGGATTTCGTTTTACTGTCTTTTCAGTTTCTGCTAATCTAGATTCTAGAACAGTACATTTGGCTTTTTTCCTTAATGATACTGATATTTTTAAAGAGTCCAGGTTGGCTGTCTTGTTTACTGTCTGGATTTGTCTGACTGTTTCCTCATGATTAGATTCGTATTAAACATCTCTGGCAAGAATACTACAGGAGTAATGTTGTTTACTTCCCAGCGTGTCACATCAGGAGGTTCACATGCCATTGCCCTGTTATTGGTGATGCTAAATTTGATCCTTATTTAAGGTGGTGTCTTCTAGAATTCTTCTTTGAAAAGTTACCTGTTTCCTTTGCAATTAATAAGGAATCTGTGGAGTACTCGGGAATAAGCATATTTAATGAGCTCTTATGGTGATTCTTGAGTGCACTGAAGTTTGAACCACTGTTTTCCATGGTGTGATGTGAATGAGGGTCCTCCAAGACCTGATCTGCCTCCAAAATACCTCAGGCTTAGCATGTGAGCCTTCACCTTTCACCTCTCACTCCACCTCCAAAGACCCTCTCCCTCTTGCCTGGCTCCAAATCCCTAGCTTGTGAGACATTAGTAGACCAGATGGGGGCACTGCCTACAACCCAAGGGAGCTTGCTCCCCTTACTCAGGTCACTGGCCTTGTGAGGAAGAGTCCTTGAAAATGGACAAGGTATTTTTGTCTGTTTGATTTGTATCATTGATTTGTATCATTTGATTTGTATCATTATCAATAATAATAATAGTGGGATGAACTAAGCCAAGCACTGTATGTAAATTACATCATTCAATCCTATGCCAATCAGGTGACTTTACAGATGAGAAAAGTGAGGCTCAGAGAAGTGAGCAACTTCCCCAAGGTTACACAGCTATTAAAAATGGGAACTGAAAAAAAAAATGGGAACTGTTTTGTAAAGCAATTATCCCTCAATTAATAAATTAAAACATAATAGAAAAAAAAGTGGAAACTGGATTCAAATCCAGTACCAATTAAAAAGCAGATGCTTTTAAACACTCAGTTCTACTCCCTAATGAATCCCACCGACTTCAGAATTCTCTTTCCATTTTCCTCTGAAGAGCTCTAGGCCCACAGCATCCCTAAGCATGAGGAAGCAGGGACACTGGACTTACTATCTTTCAAGATGGAGAACAGCGAGATCAATTGGCATTCCTGTGGTCTTGCAGCAAGTGAGTAACCGAACAGGGATGTTGATGGAGGGACCTTAAGCTCTTGCTTATGAATTTGATTTTGATTTAAGAGGCAGCTGAGAGCCACTGTGATTTCTGACTGGTGCTTGCTGAATCCAGAGTGGGTTCAGGTTGGATTAATATCATTGTCCTTTGTGTGGGGAAAGACTGCTGCTTGATAATCAACAGGCTTGCGGGCTTTGGTGGAAAAGACCGGTGTTGCTTAACAACCCCTTTCTGAGCTTTGCACAGTTGATTGACTGCCTTTAGGTTTACAGTGCTCTGTCCAGCCTGTCACAGGGGAAAATGCTACCTCTTAGATTCTAGTTAGGTCAAGAAAACCTCTCGCTCTCACCCTATACCCTCCATTCCCAATAAACAGGAACAACAGTAAAAAAAAAAAAAAAACCTTGTAAAGGTACTCCAAATTTGTGTAGCCCGCAGTTTTCTCTAGTCTGCCAATTCTCCCATGAGGATGCCCAGTCAAATGCTGCAGTGAAATGAAAAAAAGAAAACAAACAAAACCACAAAAAAAGAAAACAAACAAAACCACAGGAACCAAGATTCTCTCCTGCTAGTAAGAGTCATTTGTAAAAAAAAAAAAAAGAAAGAAAGAGTCATTTGTAATTGGGGAGGGGGGGTTATTGAATGATTTATCTTTAGCTTCAGGTTGCCCGTTTCTTAGTGACAGGGGTGTCAGGAAAATATTTCTGCACCTGTTGCAAGGTTTCATCTCTGGCTGGAGATAGACACAGACAAACACATATAGAATATCATCCCAATTTTAGCATACGTGCTATTAAAGCAAGCACACATACATATAAAGTATCATCCAAGTTTAGCATATGTCCTGACAAATTAAACAACGTCATATATAGACACAAAAGATTCCATAGTTGGAGGAGTCCTAAGAGGTCATCTAGCAAACCTTCCATCCTACTCTTCACCCCCTGGCCGCACATGCTCAGAACAGCTCTTACTCAGAAACCAAAGTTTGGGCAACTCCAGTGACAAGTTGGGACTTCTGTGGTGGCTGAGAGGTAAAGAATCTCCCTGCCTGCAAAGCAGGAGACCTGGGTTCAATCCCTGGGTCAGGAAGATCCCCTGGAGAAGGAAAAGGTAACCCACTCCAGTATTCTTACCTGAAGAATCCCAGGGGCAGAGGAGCCTGGAGTGCTACAGAATCAGACAAGACTCAGGGACTAAACAACAAAAATGCAAATAAAGTTATGCAAAGGTTTCAGAGGCAGCTGGTGCCTGTGACCAGCATTTCTTTTTTCACAATGATCTCTTATAAAAGAAAGTGAAATCCATCCTCCTAGTAACTTCTGGCTTTAGGGGGCTGCTCCCTTCCTCTGGAGTCACGCAGAATAAGGGATCTCCTTTTCTATGCAGGCTTGTCCCCCGACCCTAGAGAGACTGAAACCTCCAGCACCACAGTGCCCAGACAGGATCTTCTCTGCAGCGGCCCTCCTCCCCCTCTGACTGCCCCCTTTGGATGGCATGGGTCTGCAAGGATCACTCTCCCAGCTGCTTCTGTCCCACCTGTGTTGCTCTGCTTCCCCCACCCCCACCCCACCCCACCCGGCAAGCAAGCACAGAGCTCCTGGGAGGCTGGGCCACCGTGGGCCCACTGCAGTGCCATCACTCAGCTTGCCAAAAGCCATGTGACATAGCAAGGAAGCAAGTGGTTAGAGAGGTACATTGGGTTTCTGAGAGGCACTAGTGCAGCTAAGGCAGAAATAGGCTCAAACTTAATAATCTGCTCATCACCCACAGCAAGAGACACCCTGACTTATTCAAAGACACCGTGGGCGGTGCAGAGGATGAATAAGCATGATTCACTGCCACTCTGGCACCCGGGGCACGAAGAATAA